CCGAACTGCTGCAACCGCCGCTGCATTGTCTTCCTCTCCTTCAGGTTTCACCATCGTGCCGTCGACGTAGTCCCACAGGTCGTCCTTTACTAACACGGCCTCCATTTGTAACTTCCAAGTATCGAAGTTGTGCTTGTTTAAAAGCTCAATTCGCATACTTCCGGCACTCATCATTTTTCACTTTATATTTATAATACCCGAACACTAACTTTAATTTGCGAGATCTGGGCCCATAACCTGTTAGAATTATTTGGTTTATTGATCACACAAAATATCGAATTTGGAAGGAAGTTGTTATTTACAACAAGAATGTGACGTAACTATTTATGTTCTCTCGATTGTCATCGTCGCCGACTAATCACGGGAGATTCGATTAAATTACAATTCCAACATATTCTTCATCGGAAATATTTAAATTCTTGAATACAGTACTTTAATTTTCAATTTTTGAATCTTTTCATTTATTGCTCTCATATTTTTAGTATGTCTTTCAAAAATTTTCAAAGTTCTTTTCTTTACATCATCGATATTTGATGGTATTACTACTGTTTTGTTTCTTAATTCTGCTAGTTTCTTAGGATCGTAATTATTGTAGTTATCTAATTTATATTCCAATTCATCTATTTTATTATTAGCGGACTCTAGTTCACAGTCAGTCATAATTAATTGTTCAAGGAATAAATTAGCTGTTTTTCTTGCAATATATTTATCTACAACTTCTTGTTTGAAACCAACTATTTTTGCTCCATCTTCTAATCTGTCTATTTCAGTAATAATAGGTTTTAAATCTTTTTTCCATTTTTCTTTCTCATCGTTGGGAATGTATGAAACTAGTTTGTCCATTTATGACTGAAAAGTTTCTAAAGATTTACTAATTAATTCATCTGCTTCTTCATCTAAACTTATATGTTTGCGACTACCTGCTTTGTGTTCTACATTATCGAATATTTTTTTACTTTTTATTTTACTTTTTCTCTCTTTTGTTCCCAATTGTTCCGATTTGTTGTCTTTTGTTCCGAATTGTTCCCGTTTGTTCTCGTTTTACATGTAATCTTTATGCCAACTGAATTTAGCCCCATATTGAGGGACTTTCTGGAAATATTTTTAGATTTGCAAAATTCCGTCGTTGTTAGTTTTTTATTTACAGTCGAATTCATTGATATTTTTTGGTATATTTAGTTTTTTATCTTGAGGTCAGATTGTTGCCTTGTTTTTAATGGTGTGTAATATTCTGCTACAATTTTGTTTTCTCTGGTATTGGTCATGTTCTTAATTTATATATATATTTATATTATATTTATATATATATAAATTATTTTGTATCTTTTAAATCATTTTAAACGGAACTTTATTAATAATTCTTAAAACTGAATATAACATTTTTTATAGGTAGATCTGATGGAGCCCTCCTCATCCTCATCGAAGCGCATAAAAGTCGAAAGCAAACCTATGTATTCAGACCAAGTAAGACCAGACATATTATTGTATCACACGGTAACATGTGTTATATATACTCTTTTGTTATAGCAATTAGTTGGATCAAATTTACTGGATGATGTAACATCTTCGAACAGTTCCGAAAGCTTAAATGACTATGGAAGTTCGGTAAGTAACTTGATTCAAACAAATGTACAATTTGTTTTATGTTCAAATAGGAATTCATGGAAATCACAATTTGTTATGTTGTCTTCTCAGGATCCTGGCTTGAATTTTGAGGCTCTTCGATGGTCAACGACTTTTGTGGACAAGTCTATGCTTATTAGATGCCTTATGAACGATAAGGAACATAGAGTACTACTGACTGCGCCGCCTAGATTTGGCAAGACTATGGCTTGCAATATGCTTAAGGTGTTTTTTCAAATTGTCAACAGTGAACAGGAGTTAAAAAAGAAATATAATCTTTTCGAGGATCTCAGAATTTACAAATGCTCTGAAAAATGCACAGATAATCATGAATGTAAAAGGAAAAATTTTTTTCGCAAGCACTGCGGACAACATCCAGTAATTTCACTAGATTTTGCACAATTATCCGCAATGTCATATAGCAGTTTCTTGGCGAGCCTTAGAGATATGATAACAAGGCAGTTTAAAAAATATAGGTGTTTAATTCATATGGGTGATAAAACATATATCTGGTCAAGCAACAACATGGGAGAACTGGATGTTAAACGTTTCTTGCGTTATTTGAAGGATGCTGATGATAACGATCACTGGATAAAGTCAAAAGCTGATGACTCAGCAGATCAATACATATTTAAAGCTTTTAGATATTTGATTGAGGTTGTGTCGGTCTACTATCAAACAAAAAAAACAAATAGAAAAATCATTATGTTAATTGACGAGTTCGACGCACCTTTCATGGAATTGTTATTTCATAAAGAAAAAGACGAAAGGATTATTACTTTATTACGAAAACTTATGCGTCTTTTATGCAAAGATGAGATATCGGCAGAATTTGTTGAACGAGTAATGATTTTTTCTGTCACTGCATTCGGCGGTATGATTTCATTAGGAGCTAACAATGTTCGACGTAGAACCTTCTTGGACAAGGATTATGATTATTATAAATTCTTTGGATTTACTAAAGAAGAAGTAGACGCTTTAGTTAAAAGCACTGTCCCAGAAAGTCAACGAGAAAAAGCTCTTGATGAAATTGGTATTTGGTACAACAATTACACTGTAATAGGAGATAAAGATACAAGTATTTGTAATCCTGTGTCTATCACCAATTATTTACCGAATCTCGTACGAAGAAGTTATTGGATTGAATCAGTTGGAACAAAATATGTATGCGAACTATTTAAATTTGAAAAAATGCAGGAGAAGGTGTTTCCTGCCATTAGAGAAAATCAGAATATTTCCATCAATACAACAACTACACAGTTGGACGATATTTCTACCCTGAAAAAATTACGTGAATCAATTTCAAATTGTATCAATCAAGAGCAGGTAGACTTAGCTCTTCAATTTCTTACAGAATGTGGATACTTTAATGTTATTCACAAAGATGATACGACTTGGACATTGCAAATTCCGAATCAAGAATTGAAAGCAATATTTACAGATAAACTACATAAGGCGTTGTTAAGTGTTAAAACTAACCTGTTTAATGTAAACCAACAAAAGTCATTTGTGAATGCATTAAAGTCCTTAGGATGTGGAGAGGAGCATGAACCTACACAATATGTTACTTTTAAAGAATCTGTGGAAAATTTGTATACCAACCGAGAATTACCAAAAGCTCATTTTCATTTTCACTGTGACCTTTGGATGTTAATTTTTGGTTCTGAGAACTTCCATTGTTTCTCAGAATTGCCAATCAAAAAGGGATGGTCACCCAGGCTTGATTTAATTATTATTACAAAATGTGCAGCAATTATAATTGAAGTAAAGCGAAATGAACAAGATTCTGCAAAGAAGGCCCTAAAACAGTGTATAGAGAAAAAATATTATGAAATATTTGAATCTATGGAAAACGAAATAAAAGGTTTAAAGAAAATTTTAATGGGTCTTCATCTCTCTGATGATGGTAACGTTAGCATCAGGTATTTAGCAAATTTTGAACCAAACAGAATAACATCAATAAAAAAAATTGTTGAAGAGGATAGCTATGAATGTTAAAAGCATTCCCTTTTACTACGTACCCTGATAGTTAAATAGTATACATTTCGCTGATTTAAAAATAGTTTGTAAATTGTAATGGAAAATAACTCTCATTTTTACTGCCTTTAATATTTAATAAAATTATAAATGTCTACTTGAGTATTTTTTAATATTTCATTAAACCGGGACTTACGACGTTATGTGAGTGAAAGTACATAATAATTGATATGGTAAAAACATAAGTTGAAAAAAACTATTACCTATTATTTATATGTTCAATGAAAATTATAACTAAATATAAACCATTCTCTTAATTACAACAGAGTAAGATAAGAAAACTGGCCCAATTTAAACTCTATTATTTACAAAATATAAAAATGTATAACGGTTTAATATCACAAAATAAAAAAAAAACAATTTTAGTAAGTAGTTGTGTTACAAAAACATAAAAAAAAACAAATTTTACTTTGGCATCCTTACTTCGGTGTAATAATATTTTTTTTGTGATTATATATTATGTCTAGAATTCAATTAAGATAAGCAAACCAAAAAACAGCTAAAAATTTAAAAGTGTTGATTGTTAATCAGAATAAGAAGAATTTCTATAAAGGAAAAAATTGTTTATATTGTTCAAGGAATTTTATAGACCATATCAACGCTCGACCATCGACCGTCTTCTGTTTAATAAAAACGCTCAAAAGTCAAAATGCGTTATTCGTTATTAAATTTAAGCGCTGCACGATCGAGCGTATTCAGCGTATTACGTGCGTGTTTACCTTTAAAAAATAAATTTAATTTGGACACAATAATTGTTATGTACACTAGTGCGTAGCATGCGAAGCGAATTTAATTTTTTTAATTAATAAGAAAATTAGCATAGACAATATAATATATTCAATCCGAAAACGACTACTTATATAAGATCCATTATAGGCGTGTTGGTAAGATTTTTGAAGAATTTTATGTCTTTTTCGGTTGTCTAGGTACTTTTGGGAAATCATAATTTTTTAAGATTCTGCCTAGACGTCAAATATCGTAGTACCCTCCTTGATTTAGTGTTGTTTTTACTTTTTTATGCATGCGCCAAATGGATTGGTCCAGAAATAAAAAGCTATTTTGGAGTATGTAAAAACACGGTATTTTGTTAGTTTTTTTAGGGCGTTCTTAAAGTAGTTTTAAAGTTTTTTTTCGTGTGCCTAATTTTTGGTGGTCTACAGATATTTCGTACTTTTGGGGTGCATAAAAATTAATGCTTTCTGAAGGGTTTTAGATCTTTTTCGAATGTTTACCTTTGGGAGAAGAGCTGAATTTGTAAGATTTTGCCTTGTTTTTTAAGACGTCAAATCTCCTGGCCCAGAAGTAACAATTTATATACTACTCAGGATTGCCAACAGTTTCATTTATTGTGGATCACTTTGTATTTCATCATTCCGTTCTGCCATCTGCCTCAGAATTTTCATCTCATCCAGAACTCTCTTCTTTTTATTCCGTTTGTTCCCACCTTGCTTATATCTTTTCCATTTGTTTCTCTATCTTCTTCATATTCAAAGATTAAGAAAAATTGTTTCTGTTTCTCCTTGACTGCCATGCATCACACGACAAAACAACAAAAATATCTCACCTGAAGAAGACAAAATAAAGTTGTCGAAACGCCGCGACAAATTTAAATCAGTTATTTTGTTAATGTCCTAATAGCTGAAATCTTCAACTAAGTCAATTACTTCAAGATATATATATATCCATAGTTTTCTCTGTTTACATTGTCAAACGTGACCTGTATTTCCTCTATTTTCTTTTCAAATTCTTTACTTCTTAAATGCTTCAAAATGTAAATGTTGTTTATGAATTTTGTTCCTACTCTAAATCTTTTTTGTTTGTTTGACAAAACGTTTTTCTTTGTAGCTCTTTCTTCAGTGTTGCTTTTAGATAGTTTTCAGAATATTGAATCTTCTCTAGTTCTTCATTTTCTCATTTTTTTATTGTCCTTATTATTTCTACTCTTCATTGTTTTTTTTTCTGTAGGTTTTTTGTTTATTATTTCTGTAATTCTGTTTTTATGTTCTTTTTATTCTAAATTCTCTCTTCGTTCTTACTTTTTCTCTAGCCGCATTTTTTTTTCAAAATTTTTATTACATTTTTTAATTCATTTTTTTACGAGTGCTTCTCCCATCTCTTATTTTTTCTTTTCCTGGTTTTCTCTCTTGTAATTAACAATTACTAATTGTTTCATTGTTTGTGCTATTACCTGTCCTTCTTTTCTCTTCCTTACTTTTTTTTGTTCTTTCTTTGTTCTCTCTAACGTTAAAGCATCCAACAGGCTTTTGGTTTCGTTCTTGACTTGACTTTTTCTTGAATTTCAGTTCCTTTCTTCCTGCTTCCGCTCTTATTATTATCTTTTTCTTATAAGTGTTTTTCCAGATATATAATCAATCCAATTTTTTGATCTGCTACCTGCCTCACACTTTGCCAATGATTTTTTTATATATATTTTTCATTTTTATCACCAAATGTTCCTCTATCTTCTTCTTTCTCAAAAATTTCCACAGTTTTTTTCTATTTACATTGTCGAACGTGGCCTTTAAATCCACAACCAATACCTTTTTCCTTTTCCTCCTATTTTCTTTTCGAATTTTTTATTTAGAAGTAAATATTTCAGAATGTAAACGTTGTTTATAACGGGTGTTTTTTTAATTTGGCGACAAAACTATCCATAAAAGTTCGATTGTGTACAAACCATCGTATTAAAAGTTATTAATCTGACATTTGACACCTCGCCGGGCGTATTAGAAATTGTGGTTTGTTCACAACTCCCTCATATCACCACTTTCGGTAACATTGATTAAACTACCTTCCACGTTTATGATTTTTCACTCTGATTTCAAAAATTTTCACAAAAATGCCCCATCACGAATTATTCGTATGGGGTGGGAATGCAGAAAATGTGTTTTGGTAAAAAATGCAACAAATAAACGGTACGTGTTTTGCATGCATTTTGTTGTTTAGGAAGTAAAAAACTACTATAGACCAAAATTTCATCAATGTCAACCTTTGTTGACCTGTGTTATCGATCTTATTATTTCTTTTGTTACCTGTTTTGGAAATTCGGTATTTTATTCATTATTTCTTAAATTCTTTTTATTATTTTTCTTCTCCTAATATCTTCTTTTCGTTCTTAATTCCTGTCCGGGCTCATTGTTTTTCTTCAATAATTTCATTAGTTTCTTCAATTCTTCTTTTTCCAAGCGCCCTTCTCATTCTACGTCTTTGTTTTCTCGTTTTCTTTCTTTAGTAATTAACACATTACCTACTAATTTCTTCATTTTTATTGTTTGTGCTATTGCCTGCCTCTTTTTTCTCCTCTTTATTCTCTTTAGTTCTTTCTTTTTTCTTAATTTTTGCCAACATCAAAGCATCCAACAGTTCTTTGCCATCCGATCTTGTTTACTTTTTCTTCAAATTTCTTTGCTTTATCTTTCAAATGTTTTTCCAAATTTCTAATCATCTTGTTTTACTAACGTGCCACATGCTTCAACCTTTTTCTCATCTCTTTTCACTCATTACATGTTTCTTTTCCTTCTCAGAAATTTTTACAGTTTTCCTCCATTAACATTGTCAAATGGTGACCCTGAAATCCACAAACAACACCTCTATTCTCTTCTTCCTATTTTTTTCTCGAAGTACCTATCTGTCAAATGTCTCAGAATGTAAATGTTATTTATGATCTCTGTTCCTGCTCTAAATCTTTTTTGTCTTTGTAACAGTTTTTCCATTATAGCTCTCTCTTCAGTTTCACTTCTGGATAGTATTCAGCACATTGACTCTTCTCTACTTCCCCACTTTCTCTTGTTTATCTACTTTTCACTGTTTTGAGAATTCTCTTTCTCTCTATAGGAATTTTGTTTATTACTACTTCTATTTATTACTTTCTCTTCTTTCTATATCCTGTCTTTGTCTTTAATTTCTCTCCGGCCGAATTCCCTATTTTCAATTCTTTTTTTTCCATGGGTACCTCTTTCATTGCTTAAGTACTTCTTCGTTCTCTCGTTTTTTCTCTCTAGTAATTTTACGACTACAATTACTGATTTCTTAATTTTTGTTGTTTATGCTATTATTTGTCTCTCAATTTTTCCTCGTTAAAACACTAACAATACTTGGATCAAAAGGTCCAAAGGTGCTAGTGGTTATTTTTAAAATTTTCTCAAACCAAATTATTAAAGTTGTTCTCTCAGCTTGCTTCCTGGAGTAAAATTCTTCCGTTTGTTTTTTATCTGTGCTTGATAGATGGTAATTGGTGCGTAATTAAGAGTGGCACAACAAACTCTGGCAAATTAGGGGCAAAATGACCGAAATCAATCTTGTTAATAAGACGTGCTCTTAAAGTAATAAGATCTGGCGTCGGGAAGTGTAAGTAAGCGGTTCGGTACAGTGTTCATAGCGGACAATTTGTTAACTGTCGCCCTTAGTAGAGATAGATTGCTTAGTTAGTGCGTACGTCTTAATAGACTTATTTTCAACGTAATTTGTACAAACAACAATAGTTTTCAACGTGTTATTGTAACGCCAGGAAATAACGATGATGATGATGTGATTAAGGCGCCGGATACGGAACCGCAAACTCGAAAGGAAAACCGGATAATTAACAAAACATTTACTCGAGAGCTGTAGAATACACCCTATGTAGTGGAGAGTGCAACAATCAAAGTCTCGAGAGAAATCAAATTCGGGAGTTTTATGAGTAAACAAAGAGTGTAAGGGGAAAGATTTGCAAAGAAAATATATACAAAGTAGCAAATATTATCAATGTTTTTATGGTTTATTCTTTTTTCTTCGCGTGTCGATTACTTAATTTCTCTACAAAATAGTATTATTCGTTAACTAGTAGCCAAAGCTACAAAAAATTAAGTTAGCTTATAAACAAATAAATACATAAAATTCGATTTTGCGTCTTACAGAAAGCTTATTTCGATACCAACACCGATGCTTTAATAATCCATTTTCCCATTTCAACACCAGTTAGGGTGCTGAAATAGTACAATTTTTACTACAGTTACTAAATAGAATACAGTACCGCAAGGCTATGTTCCAATGAGCTAGAGAGAGAGGCAATGACTTTTACTCTAAACATGGCGACGTAACTAGTTACT